TGAAAATATTAGTAAAATAATGGGTGCCATTGTTAATTCTAAAAAAAAAAATAGAAAAATGAAGGCAAGAACTAAAGAGCTCAGAATCTTCTATAAATAGCCTTGCAGAGGTCACATCTTCTGGGTTTGACCAGGTGATTTTAGAAGTTAGTAAAGAACCAGTTGGCCCTGAGATAGATATGACTAGGAATTTCTTCATTCACTCATTCATTCACTCATTCATTCGCTCATTAAACATTTACTTCCAGCCTGTTATGTAACATACATGAGGGATACAAATGGCAAGAAAGAGCTCAGATAAACAGGCAATTACAATCTAGTTTGATAAGTGGTGTGAAACTGTAGAGGGGTAACAAGCCTACAGGGGCTGGAGAGGGAGGGGATAAAGAAAAGTCAGAGAAGGTTTCTGGAACTCGGAGAATGTATCTCAGTTGAGAGTTGCAGGTCTAATAGGGGTTAAGGGAAGAGCAACGTATAAAATGCTGCATGAAAAAAGAAAATGCTGCATGGACAAAGATGAAGAGCAAAGTCAAGGAAAGCATCCTGAGTTTGGATGGCTGCATGAATGGCTCAAGTTTAGGGTCAAGGAGAGAGATCTGATACAGTGCTGGGGAGAGGAAGGGCCCAAGTTATGGAAGTCTTTATCTACCCTATAAGGAAACCTTGGTTTTTGTTTTCAACGAGTGAGCCAGTGAAGGACTTTCTAAGCAGGATGATGAGTTCCAGTTTGGAAAATGATTGATAGGTATTAAGATCAAGTAAGAGGTTGGAGAAGTTGTGAGAAGGAAGTGCAGGGATTCCAGTAATACTGAACTGGGATGAACAGCACTTCAGTACGATTATTGGTGGAGAATGGAGGGAGGGAGAGAGGAAGGAATTTGTATTTTTCTGGTCTGGCTTGGAAAACTTAGATGGAATGTGGTAGTAAGCTAGCAAGTTTAGAGGGGAAGATGGGTTCATTTTTGACATTCTAAGTTGGAGATGCCTGTGGAGAAGTTGAGTAAGCAGTTCAAAATATGGGTCCAAGTGTAATGGCTACATTTTTTAAGAACTGAGGAATGAGATGAGAGAGGTTGCACATTAAAATCACCTGCAATTTAAAGACTATATAATCCTGAACCCCAACTGAAGAGATTCTGATTCAGTTAGGGCTAGTGCAATGGAATAAATACATACATACATACATACATACATACATACATACATACATACATGCAAGGGTTTCAAGATTATAAAGTAGGAGGAGGAGGTGGGATTAAACCAGCATTTTAGGGGATATTATTAAACCACAGCTTGCTTCTCAAAGTTTGAGAGAGGTCTGAGCAAATACCACTTTTTGACATCTATGTATTTAAAATCTTTTAAATGCCAAGAGGAGAATCCAAAAATTGAGGGGTATTTTAAACATTTAGGTTTAGCTAATCAATGTTTTTAATATACAATGACTCTATGTATACCTTGTAGGAGGTAGCATTGAAAATTCACATTTGAAACATTTACAAATGGCCTTCCTGTCTGTTCTTTTCCAAACATATCTTGAATCCCACGTGGCAATATCTGAAAAATTCAAAATGTTCATATCTTTTGGCCTTGCAAAATCTGCCTTCTCATGGGAAAAACAAACACAAAAGGATAGTCATTGCAGTACTGTTTTTAATTATGAAAACTAGGGGGGGGGATCAGAATGTCCATCATTAGAACTTTGATTAAATGGATTGTATCATATCCATACCATCCAATACTGTGCGTGGGTTAAAAACAATGAAATAGGTCTACATAGGTGACTTTAAAAAGTCCACACTTTATTTTTAGATGAAAAAAGCAAATCGCAGGCAGTTAAAAAAACAAACTGAGCTGATAAATAGGTTATAAAGAGGCCTCAATACATCACCTCTGTAATATTTGTTAAATGCTTACATTTAACAAATGCATATTTGTTGCAATAGGACAGACATTATTTCATTACATATTTGCTCAAGGCGCTCCTTGAGATAGCTCAGTTGGGAGAGTGTTAGAGTAAAGATTGAAAGGTCGCTGGTTCGATCCCCGATTTTGGCAACGGTTTTAAACATCAACCACAACGGTACTTAGAGTTAGGGTTCCCTGTCTACCCTCCTCTGGATGAGCTCCGTGTAC